GAGTGACATTCTCGTGGGGCGCCCTCCCCAGCAGGAATAATGGAGTTCAGAGTAGCTGGTCAGTGCAGCAACAGAGGTGGCACAAAAAGTTGTGGGGACAGAATCAGGAACGACCAGCACAAGCTTCAGGGCATGGGGGATTCCAGCAAGTTGCCTCAGGAGAGGTGGCTGGCCCTAAGCCAAGCCTTGAAGGATACAGAGGTGTTAAACCAAGTGGGGAAGAGGGAACCACATAAGCACATCCATGTGCAGCTCTTTATTGAGCATCTTCTGTGACAGATGCTTTTATACCCAACTCTTTTATTCTGCCAACCAGCAGCAAGGGGATTGCAGTTCCTATTTTCTCGATATAGAAACTAGGCTCAGGCAGGTGACGACCTCAGAAATCGCTCCCTGTGCTTTCTAGAAGTACGGAGGATCATTATAACCTCACTTTGGCTAAGACCAAATTGCTAGAGCAGTTTCTCAACTGCAGCACCATTGACATCTGGGGCCGGGTCATTCTTTGCTGTGGGGCCACCCCGTGCATTATAGGATGTCGAGCAGCATCCCTGGCCTTCACACACGAGATGCCAATAGTACACACCCACCCCAAGTTGTGACAACCAAAAATGTCCCCAGACATGGCTGTGTGTCCCCTGGGGGACAGGAGCACTGCTCTGTAGTAAAATCTGGTTCCCGCTCCAGGGCCACCATTGCCTCAGTGGGTCTTTGGTGTTTGTTGGGCTCCCAGCAAATTGCTGCCAAGGGCAGGCGTGGGGAAAAGAGGCCAGCAATTGAATTCTGCCATCTGCTCGGTTCTTAATCTGGAGTCCTGATAAAAAGGAGACACCACTGGGAATGGACTGAGGGGGATTTAGAGAACGTGCCCCGAGAATGTTCAGCGGAGGAGGAAGAGGAGGTGAGCTGGGGCCGTCATCACTCACTGGCACAGCAGATGCCATTGTCTGTCTCGTCTTTGTCTTCCCACTGACCTGGATTTCTGCAGGAACAGTCCTTGTCTCGGAACAAATTGTTGCTTTTCTTCCGAGATTAGAGGTATCAGATTCTCCTCTCAAAGAGCTACTTTGGAGGTAGCCCCAGATCACTGTGGCTCTTGAAGCCATGTTATCTTCTCCCATTTGCCCTCTTGGCTCCAGACGCCAGTCCGTCCTCAAGCACAGACTAAGTTTTGCTGTTCGTGTGTCCTCCTCTGCTTGTTTCCTGACCATGACATTGCTGCTTTAACTCCAGGGGAGGAAACCACACATTCTGGGGCCGTCTGACCCCTTCTGGATGCTACCCTCCCCCCAGTCCCCATCCACCAGCCCTTTGTGCACCCAGCATCCCCAACCAACTGTGCCAGGCAGCCCCTGCTCGGCCTCCCCGCCGAGCAAGACAGGCCCTTCTCTCTGCCCTCGTCCCGGAGACGGAGGGACAGAACAAAGGGCTCTGTCTGAGCACCGCCGGGCCCCCGACAAGCCAGCGCACTGCCAGCCGAGGTGCAGAGCCCATCACTTCACCTCTTTGCTTTTTTTCACGTTGGCCCAGAAAGGGCCTTGGAGATTAGGCACGTCTCAAAAACTCAGCCGATGAGTTTGGGTTCTACTCATTTCCTCGTTGAGACTCTGAGCCCGAGCCCCGATGATAAATAAAGTAGTGATTCAAGGGTTCAGCCTGTGGCTTAGTCGGAGCAATGAATAAGCTGTCCTGGTCTGACTCATTCGTTTACATCCCAGTTCTGTCCCGTTTCTTAGGGTTGTGTGTGCGAGAGGGAAGCCAGCTCCAAGCATTTCATGACTGTCACTGCCGCGTGTGCAAGTTTCCTTGGACTGCCATAGCAAAGTACCACAGGCTAGGTGGCTTAAGCAACAGAAATGTATTGTCTCATGGATCTGGGGGCCAGAAGTCCAAATCAGGGTGTTGGCAGGGTTGGTGCCTTCCAAAGGCCACGGGGGAAGGATGCATT